GGTGGTGAGTGCTGCGGGAGGAACAGTTGGTGTCAGGGCTGGTGAAAGGGCTGGAGGGAGGGAGCATGTCTGGCCTCACAGGAATAGGCCTTGGGCTACTGATGGTGATTTTGTCTTCCTCTTGTGCGGTTAGAGGATGTCAGAAGATGTGGCTTCCTTGCCCCTTTAGCATAAGCTAATAAAACAGACCAGAAGTAAATCCATCCACCTGTGGACAGCTGATCTTTGACACAAGGCCAAAATCCATGAAATGGGGAAGAGACAGTTTCTTTAACAAATGGTGCTGGCAAAACTGGATATTCTTTTGCAGAAAAATGAAACAAGATCCATACCTCACAGAATATACAAAACTTAACTCCAAATGAGTCAAAGACTTAAATGTAAAATCTGAAATTATACAAATCATTAAAGAAAAAAAAATAGTGATAAACTTAGGGGTCCTAATTTATGGCAGAAATAGACTAGCAAACTTAATGAAAAATTCACAAACAGCAGAAGATAATCTAGATGACTGAGACCTCCTAAAATTAAATACTTATGTACGTCGAAAGATTTCCCCAAAAGAGTAAAAAGAGAACCTGCAGATTGGGAAAAAATATTTGGCAATGACATATTTGATGAGAGACTTATCTCTAAAATTTACTTCAACACTTCAACCAAAAGACAAAGAACCCAATTAAAAATGGGCAGAGGATATGAATAGACATTTCATCAAAGACATTCAGGTGGCCAACAAACACATGAAGAAATGCTCCTGATCATAACCATTAAAGAGATGCAAATCAAAACAACACTGAGATATCATCTCACCCCAGAAATAGTAGCATAGTTCAATAAGACAGGAAACAACAAATGCTGGTGAGAATGTAGGAGAAATTAGAACTCTCAAACACTGTTGGTGGGATTGTAAAATGGTGCAACCACTGTGGAAAATTGTATGGCCCAGACAATGCCCCAGGCAGTGCCTCAGGTGGTATCTCAGACAATGACTCAGCAGGCACAGTTGGGTTAGTCTTACGAGATGGGAGTAAGAGGGCTGGTTATCTGCCCATATGTCTCCATCCCAAGTTCCAGGATCCTGTTTCTTCCCAATCAAATCCCTCACTTTAACTTCAGATACCATTTGAGGTTGGCGATTCAATTGGTGTTGTTGTAATTCAGCCACTCTTATGATAAGACTCTGGGTCTGGTTTTTGGCAATATCAGCTATGTTGCTACAGGAAATAATGCTTTCTTTCAGGGCAAAAGGAGAAATATTGAGGTCTCTTATGTGATGCTTTAACTGTGACTCAGAAGCCCTGAGCTCATCTCATTATTTTACCACTCTGTCTAGTGTAAACAGGACCAAATAATCAGTTTCTGTAATTCTCATTCTGACAAAATTGCAGAAAAGTATCAAACATGCAGTCACTCAGAGCCTCACTTTTCACAAACACTTGATTTGTGCTATTTTGTGGATTAATATTGCCATCTCACGCTATGGATTAGCAACACCCTCTTTACTCATGGAGGTAGAGTCATCAGCACCTTTATGACTAATCAAATTTGAGAACCAATTAAAAAAATCATCCTTATGATTTTGTTTCTCTAGAATCACTCCTGGTACCAAATATAGGGTTGGGTTGGGTTCTCTAGAGTAGCAAAACCTGTGAAGCTTGTATATATATATAGAGAGAGAGAGAAATTTATGTCAAGAAAATGGCTCATGCAGTTGTAGAGGCTGGCAAGTCCCAAAACAGTGGGTCAAATGTCAAACTGGAAGCTTCACCTGACTCACGCAGCTGCAGGAGCTGACAAACCTAAGATTGGCAGGCAATATAGCAGGCTCCTGACTTTGGAGGCTGAAGAATTCAAGATCAGCATATAAAATGGCAGATTGTTGGCTCACAGGCTGCAAAGGCAACAGTTCCATGATCAGCAGGCAACATGGCAGGATCCAGATCCAGCAGAAGCCCTAAGATCTTTCCCAAAGCTTTTCCATATATACTAGAAGCAGGCTACATCTGGAAGGAAAATCCCTTTCAACTGATTGACTGCTCATAGCAGGTCTTACATGGAGGTGATTATATCAGATCTCATCATGGAGGACAACTACATCATAACTGCTAAACTACTTAGAATCATGGTTTAGCCAAGCTGATACACAACCTTAACTATCATATCATGGAATCCAGACTTCATATGGAGTCATCATGACTGGATGCATCCCTGAAACTATTGCCCTAAGATAATCTTTAGGTCTTAAACCTTAAAACAAACATATCCCCTGAAGTCGTCTTAAAACTAAATGGTAGTTTAGCTCAACTAATAAAGAATATCTGCCTTCAGCACTGTGCTACCTATATTGGATCAAATTGAGAATAGCAACTGGAAGGACTAGATAGGAAGCTTAGGGGGCAATGAGTTTATTTTAATAAGGAGGCACAATTCAGAAAAAGAGGGTGAGAAAGGTTGCACAACTCAAAGAATGTAATGAGTGTCACTGGATTGTACAGGTGCAAACTGTTAAATTGGTGTATGTTTTGCTGTGTATATTCTCAACAACAAAAATAAAATTTTAAAAAGAGAGCAACACAGGACCATAGTTGCAGGGGCCATCAAGGTCAATTGGCATAATATACTACACAAAACATTGTTCACATCCTACTTTGGTGAATAGCGACTGGGATCTTAAAAGGTTGCAAGCTGCCATTTAGATGCAACGATGGGTCTCTCCTTGTCCAGAGCAAAGAAGAATGAAGAAAACCAAAAATTCATGGAAACAATTAGTCTAAGTGGCTGTTATACCATGTGATCCTCAGCCTATACAACTATGTCACCAGAAGAACTAGATGGTGCCCAGCTACCACTGTCAACCACTTGGAGGGGGATCTATGTAGGAGATCCTGGATAGACTGGGAGAATAATGTGGAACAAAACTCAAAATCATTAAAAGGGACCAGGTTTGCTGGTCTGATAGAGCCTGGTGGAATCACTGAGACTATGGCCCCTAGCTGCCTTTCAGGTCTGGAATTGAACTCACTCCTGTGGCTTCCAGCCAAACAAAAGACAGACATATGAAGTGAACATTTACATTAGGTAGATACACTCCTTGGAGAGATCAATCATGGGAGAATAGAAGGGTAGTGTATGCACAGGGAGACAGAGGGGACAGAAGTGCATGGAGGGAAGGACACAGGAAGAGGTAACTATGGGGAAGAAGTGGAAAGGGAGCTGTTGCATTGTGGTAAATTTTAGTCAGTGTTATGAGACAAAGTGTATGTGAGCTGCTGTATGGAAAGTGAGTTTGCTCTGTAAATTTTCACCCATATTACACACACACACAGACACACACACACAGCAACAATGAGACTGATAACAGATTTCTCAACAGAAATGATAGAAGCCAAAACAATGAAATTACATCTTAAAGATAAGATGTAATAGAATTCTATAAGAATATCCTTCAAAAGTGAATGCAGTATAAAATTATACACAGACTAGCAAGAACTCATGGAATTGCCATTAAACCTGCACTAAAAGAAACACCAAAAGGACTTCTTCAAGCAAATGGAAAATTATACCAGTCAGTAACACAGAAATTCAAGAAGGAATAAAGTGCAACAAAGAAGGTAAATAGATGTTTAAATCTAAAAGAACACTTACTCTGCAAAACAGTAATATAAAAACAATAACATAAAGGATGGGAGGTCAAAGGTGTTAATATATTGTAAGATCCTAGCATTGTCTAGAAAGTAGTGTAAGTACTAGTTTATATTGTTGTTGTTATGTGCCGTTGAGTTGGACCCAACTCATAGCGACCCCTCCTTGGGTTTCCAAGGCAGTATCACTACAGAAGTAGATTGCCCCATCTTCCTTCTGAGGAGTGGCTATTGGGTTTGAGCTGCCAGCCTTCTGGTTAGCAGTCAAGTGCCTTAGGAACTATGCTACCAGAGCTCCCATTAGTTTATATTAGGTTCTAATAAATCAAAGTTGCATATTACAATTTTTAGGGTACCCATTATAGGAAAATCTTAAAAGACTAATTAATAATCCAAAAGAAAGGAAAATTGGAATATAAAAGTGTTTCTAATGCAAAAAATGACAAGAAAAGAGAAAAAAAAATTAAAAAGGGACAAATAGAAATAGTAAGATGGTTGATATAAACTCAAATATGCCAGTAATTACATTAAGTATTGATGGTAATGTTGTTGTTGTTATGTGCCGTCGAGTTGGACCCGACTCATAGCGACCCCTCCTTGGGTTTCCGAGGCAGTATCACTACAGAAGTAGATTTCCCCATCTTCCTTCTGAGGAGTGGCTGGTGGGTTTGAACCGCCAGTCTTCTGGTTAGCAGTCAAGTACCTTAGGCACTACGCTACCAGAGCTCCCATTAATGGTAATACTGCAATTAAAAGATAAATGTTATCAAACTGGTTTAAAAAAAAAAAAAAAAAAGATGACTTGTGACTTATAAGAATTATAATCACTTTGGGAAAGTGTTTGACATTATCTACCAAAGCTGACTAGCTGACTATAGGCACACTCTTGACCCTGCAATCTGCTTCTGGAAACCCAAAAGAAAGCAGGCATGTGCACCAAAAGATATACATAAAAGGTCTGTAGTACTGTTACTTAAAATGGCCACAAACTGGAAACTTGCTACATATTTATCAAGAAAAAAATGGGTAAATTCTTAT